CCTGATCATGATTAAGCTCCCTGCGTGTACGCTTTATCCACAATATACTTACTGAATAGATGTGTTCCGTGCTGTGTGTCTGTTATCCGTACTGAATAAACGTGCTCCGTGCTACACGTCTGTTACCTTTATAGCTGGGCTATAGCTTAACTGGTTCTGGGAGTCTAGCTAGATGTAGGAGAATCTGCCATAGAGATTTTTGAGTCAGTCAGACTTTAATAAAGAAGCAATCCGCTACACGGTTTTCCCAATTTATTTGTCTGGCTAGATGTGGGGATAGGGGATGCTCAAAGTTTTTCATTAATAAGTATAAAAACTGGAAGCAGTTTGAGTATTACCTCAAGTGTATATTAAATTACGAGACAAATTTCAAAAAAAAGAGCACAAAGGTGAGGGGGGGGAGGGGCCGGGATATAACTGTCGAGACCTGATGACAAGGGTTCATCTGTGCGGCACACTTGTAGCAGCTTCCGAGGTCATTATCAATTAGATGTTTCAAAAGAAATCCAATTCTAAAATAAAAAGAAGACACTAAGGTGCGTTTCAATATCGGTTTTTTTTCAACGGATTGTAAAAATAATTGGTTGGTGTTGAAATCTTCTAGACTTTAAAGTTGATTTCACTGATTACTGTTCAAAGATTTTATTTTATTAAATTTTTATTTCTTACTTAAATACTTAGAAATGGAGTTGGTATGCTTACATTTGATTGGGAATTGTAATTTGAATTACTGGATGTTGTCGTAGTAGCAACACCGAAGTATTCATTGTCATACATCCCGCTTCCTTCAGCAAACATTGCCCGAGATTGGCTAACTGCTAGATTGCCAGTTGCTTCATCACCATCTTTGGAATTATTGATGGGAGAAGTGCCCGTTACTGGGGTTTCAAAGCTCTTTGTTTTCGGTGTTGAGTTCAGAGCTGCTGTTACTGTGACACCGGAACTTGACGATTTCGTTAATATATCATCATCAGTTGTTAGCAATTCCATATTACTGAATTTCATTGATGAAGGATGATTTCGAGGTGCGTAAGAATTGAGTGTTTCCTGAAACGAAAGAGACAATATGAATATAAATGAAAGCCTTGAATTTGGATGTAGTAGGCTATTAATATTATATATCATTCGATAATTACTGATTTATAAAACTAACGTTTAGATAAAAGCTGACGATGATTTACAAAACCACGCTAATATAATGCTTTCCAGCCAGCAAGTCAAATAAGTTTCTATATGAAACTCTTTAGGGAAATTTAAAGACTTGCAGTTGCGTAATTATTATTAGCGTTGTCTTTAATTTCGAAGTTCTACAAAATGAAGTATTTCCACTCATTAGTCCGGCTAGACAAGAAGAGTCTTCATGGTCTGAGAAATTCTGATAACTGCTTGAATCAATTTGGAGGAGTATTCTGACCACTGGAGGCACTAAGATGAGTAGCAAACTCATAGTACCTGATACTGTTAATAAACCAAGGCCATACCACTAATCCCTAAACCCAATTCATTAATATCGATCTCCATTGCGAAAAAAATGACTAAAAGATGACTGACCCTAGAGGGTATATTTCCCAGTGGTGACTTGAGCAAACGGTGTTCGAAACACAGTGCTTACCTCTCCCTGTCTGCTTTCCTGCCCTCCAGCGATATCAAATCTTGGTCTCTTTGGCCATACTCTTGCTTCAGCTCCTCTCTCCCCTTTCCTTGACCCTTCTCCAGCCTTGACAGGACTCCCATTGTTCTCCCTCAAATTTCCCTCACCACCGCCGATATTTTCTGTCTCCTCCTCTTCTTCCTCTTCCCCGTCAGACGTCACCGAAGTTGCCGCACTACTCGTACTATTAAGCAGCAACTTAGATGCATATAGAGCCTGATCGGTTTTCGAGCCTTGTAGCGTCTGTTGATGATGCTGGTGTTGATGTGTAGGAAGCATTGTTGCGAATCCACCAGATACGTCGGAGTAGTGATTGGGTGGAGCAATTGTAGGGGGAGGCATGTGATTGCTATTATGCTGAGGTCCCGTCTGGGAGGGGTGCACCATCCCGGAGGTCACGTGATGTGTTGCAGCAGCGGCAGCGGCAACAGCTGCTGCCCTACTGGGCATTGAGTAGAGTGCTTCAGCTAAATCAGCTGCCCGTTTTAATATGATCTCGCGAGGAAGACGCTCGGGATCGCCTGGATGGCGTGGAATGATTTTGCGGAGACGTTGGAAACCATATTCAATTGTGGGATCATTTAGGGCTAATAGCAAGAACATGAAAGTACAATGGGTTAATATTTTCAACAATCGAAGATTACAAATTCATCTTGCAATTACTTAAGAATCCAATTTTTCTATCATTTAATACTTAGATTGAATTTCCAATGGGGCAAAATTTGCATTTTCTGCTTATAAACCGCAAAATAACGTTCGACCTGTCTATTACCTGCCACGATAGCATATTTGGGGTTTTTAAGTTCGTTATTGACTTACAAGTGTACGCGAAGCGTCCTGGGGCATGTTTACAAAATGGCCGGTTGTTAAATAAGAGGGAGACTTCAACGACTCCTTGGGTTGGTCTTGGAGGAGTTTGAACTCGTAAAGCGTTTGAAGTGATCAGCTGAAAGAAGAGAAAATACATTCGATAGGTCCATCATGACTTAGAAGTATGGACATATTATTTCGTGAGGACTGCTTACTTCGCCCCAGACAGGAGTATTTCCGAACACCACTTGAAGTCCATGAAAGAAATTCTCCCCAATTATCATTACGCTTTCACCACCGCTTGTCCAGCCTTCATTCGGTGAAATTGCCTTTATTACTGGAGGAGCTGATGGTACTACTGAAATGAAATAAGTAGGTTAGTGCATAGGATTGAGCATCGCCTGAAGAATGCAAAAATATTTTCCAATGAATATTTTTCTTATTCATAAGTACGTTTGAATAAAAAGTAATTTATTGAAAAATTGTTTAAAATAATTTAACGTCTCTTCGTCTTAATTGTCAACCTCATTTAGAATTCCACATACAATAACTGAAAATGGAATTTTACCATTAAATTCAAATAAATGGAATTGTCGTTACAAATTTCCCCCATACCGACAATTGCATAAAAAAAGCGAAATCTGAATAGATATTTTCTGGCTTTATTAAAGACTCAAACACGTTCCATTAATCCCAAAATTTATTGCTCGAAATATTTTATTACGCCATTATAAGAAGCGCCACTCAGACCAAACCTCGTCATCCCAGCAAGTCAATTCTTTGACTTCCTATAGCCGTCGTTTATCCATTAGCCACTTAGCTCCACCCATTACCTCACTTGTTTCTTCATCGAGTGGGTGAGAGAAGGAGGGTGGGGGGAGAAAAGGAGTGAGAGAAAGAAGGGGTGGAGGAGGAGGACGGAGAATGGCTAACTAATTTTGGACTCTAATCCCAGAGGGCATAAGGCGGAATGCCCAATTCTGCAGAGGCGTTGGGAGAAGTGGGTTACTTCTTGCTAACATACGAGTCTGGTCAGTTGAAATGTGTCAACAGTTGAAAGATGTCTGTTTGTGTGTGCGGATGAAGTAATTGAATTTTGGCACTTTGGATAACCTTGGGGCTGTTGATTTTAATTTAATAGAACTCACATTACATTAACTATGAAGCCAATCAAATTAAAAAGGGACTTTTTAATTCCAAAGGAATAATGTTATAAGTGAAATGAAAAATATGTAGCACCCCTAGATTCGAGTTTACAGTTTACGCATGCTAGATCTGTCTTCAAGACCACAATAGAAATATCGATTTTCCCGGGTGAATGAATTCAGTTCCTTCAATTGGAATACAATCATTTTAACTCATAAATTCAGCTTACTTTCTTCTGGAGGATCCATTCGTCGTATTCTTCGTCCATGCTTTGAATTATTGTGAACGAACATAGTGTCCGAAAATGCTAGCAAGCTGCCCTCTAGTGAGGGTGTCGATGCTATAGCAACCTAAAGCAACAAAATAATAATTAATCCCAAATCGAAAAGATGTGAATAAAATCATTTCATGCTTACTTGAAATCGCCTCATATCTCTTGGGTTGCCGGCATTCTTTAGGCAATTTTGGTTGCACTTCATGAAAAATTTCAGAAAGTATCTAAAAATAATGGAACAAGTAATTTTATTTCTTCGTTTACTTCTTTCTCTGCGTCAGTAGAGGCATTGGCAACAATTTTATCGGGGAAGATATTTGAGAAGGTTGTTTCACCTCTCCCCTCCCCCTCGTCCCTTCTTCTTCTTGTGGGTTATTGTCAAGGTGTTGAGCATAATTAATTTATCCGAGTCCCTATGGAGTTTGACCTTAGACGGACGCAATTAAATTAACGGGAATTTAATATCACCATAAATTTGAGTCCACCGGTCTAGTGATTGTAAGGTCAAGTTTCTTGTATAATCTATTTCAGCCGAATTGCTCACAAGAAGACAAATATGCGAGAAAAGATATATTACCAACAGCTAAGGCCCATTTATCAAAGGGCACTTCCCTGCCATATAAAACAAAATGACTAATGACTTAACCGCAAAACCCCTGTTGACTATTCAATTATACAATAAAAAATTTCGCTACATTGATTAGGGACATGCCACCTGGGGCTTGTTGAAGTGTGCACATGTCGTTTTATTTGTGGAACAGAATTCGGGGATGCTGGAACAGCATCCCTCCCACCTTCGTACCATTTTTTCGGCAACACAGTGGACAGCGAATGAAAAGTGCTCGGAAGGATGAGATGTCGCCCGTTGTGGTCTAGACAATACTGCCTTCTTCCAAGCCCCACCCTTCCCCACCCCCCACCTCCCCCGGGATAAATTCTTGGATGTGTAACGATTTCATAAAAAAACACGCAGTCTCCCCTTTGCACGTTTTTACTGAAATATGCATCTGGCAAAATGTTTAAGATGAGGAAAGAAATCTATTTGTCAGTCCCTCATCTCGGAATAGTCCAAATCAGTTTGGTGAATTTGGTGTTTCGCTAAAAAAAGCCATTTAATTCGGAAATTATTGCTTCAAAGTGTCAGCTGAAATAATTAATGTGCTCCATAGAAATGAACGAATTGGCACTAACTCATTCATAAGGGTAATATGAGGAAAATAACAAGAAAAACAAAATAAAAGACATAGTATTTTGTCTGACTATGATTCTCAGTTCCTATTGAATTTAAATCATAATTAGAAATGTGGCTTACCAAATTGTTCTACAGTTTGTGCGTTGCTCAATAATATCGATTTTTCATTAAATAATGAATTGAGCAATGCGTATTCTCAACTAATATCGAGTAGGGGAGGGGGGGGGGGGAAGGGGAGAACTTACCGATCGATAATTACTGGATCGGAAGGAGTTTCATTCCTGTTTCCACAACTTTTTTTATCGCAGCATCGACTGCACATCACTTCGTGAGTGAGCAGCACACGACACATCTCAGGGTTTTTATCCTGACCCTCGTAAGCTATTGGCTAAAATACAATTAAATATTTACTTAAAATGGTTGACATTCAGTTGACATAGCTCCTCTATAAGTAATGTACCTGCTTATTAGCTGAATCAACTAATCGGACGTAAATATCTTGGTCCTGTTGGAAACCTGGTGGGAAGCAATGAAATAAAAATTGGCCATTAAATTCAATTCCACCTGAATGACTTCTCTTATTGGAAAAAATTGAAATAGGAATTAAATGGTGCGTTAATGCCTCCATTGGTGGCACTGGCAGATGGCATCGAAATGACTTTCAGTTAATTGCATAAACAACAAATAAAACTAATTTAGCTTTGACGAGTAAGATAATTGAATTACCGTTTGAAAAGACCAGACGCAATCTGTAGTGGATTCCATTGTTGGTTTTCTCGCTATCAGGTTCCTAGTAAATTAATAGTAAAAAAACGATATGATTACAATGTGCCCCAATTTCACAAATATCTTATCGGTGATCTATGTCTGATTACAAAGAGCCAACTCAAATTCGACAACTACATTGAATTAATTTTTATATAGGTTTGAGAAAATGGTTCAAATTGTATGCATAATCATGAACTCAGTTTGGAAGTCGTTTTCTGAATCTCATATTGGTTGGTGGGTGACATGATGAAGGCTTCCTGGAGGGTGATTCGAATTCAGCCCCAATCTACATGTGCCAGACTTAACCAATGTGATTGGTCATTTGTTTATTGGGTGTACACCGATGAAATTCGAAGCCGTGATATCTGGTGTGACAGACGTACACGTAACCTATGCGTCAGTGAAGTAAATGACACTTAAAACTCACCTCTTGGAAATATGGAATAAGCCCTTACTTACTTCAAGTAAAGGCTAACATTATTTCATTAAAAAATTAACGGTTTTCACATTATTTTTTTTTATGCGTATCAATCCAAACTGACCTATTAGCTAAAAGGCGGTGTAAGGTGGAGTAAGTGAGACAATGTATTTCTTTTTAAAATTTCAGAAGATTTTGTTTCCTTTTTTGAATTTTGTCATAGTGTCAAGCTACTTAAATATTAATGCTAACCATGTGCATCTTTCTCAAATTTCAGAGAGAGAGTGAAAAAAAAACAAAAAAATGAGAAGTTGGAGAGATATTCCGCATGTGTGTGTGTGTGTGTATCACATGAAAATACCTTCTTCTTCTTATCTTTCTCTATTTCTCCTTATTTTTCCTCCATCAATGCCATTGAATAATTAACATCTAATGAACTCTGCCTCTTAAACTCCCAAGTGAATTTGCAGAAGACACGCGTCACAGCTCTCCCCTTTTCCCTTTCGACTTCCCCCCGCCCAAACCCATTCGATAATATCCACCCCCTTTCTCCACGCCATACAAAATGAACTCCGAGTGCCCACATGAGTTCATTAAATTTACCCACTCAATTCTCTTGCCTTATAGCACACTCCCAATCTCCGCCCACCCCCACACCCC